TCTTCCGAGAACATGGACTTCTGCATTTTTGCTTTGCTTATGAAAAAGGCTGAAAATAGTTTGAGTTATTTAATTTAGAGAAGACTGAGCAATCAAACAATCTGTATTCAGATAATTACAAGAGTGCTTTCAGAGAAAAAAAAAACACATATTCTGTTCTCTCTGTTCATGGTGGATAACAAAAAAGCAGCAGGCTGAAATTACAGGAAGGGAAATTTAGATTCGATATTTTCCATTAGTCAGAATAGTGAAAGTTTGAAAGGACTACAAGGAAGAAAGCAAGATATCCAAACTTGGAGATCATTAGGATGCTTAAAATGATGCTCATACATTTCATATAGCTAGAACGGATCATTTAAGTGTTGTTTAACATATGGACCAGTAGCAGCCTGAAACATACAAGACCCATGAGACCTTAAATGACAATGGGAAGAGAATGCAAAGAAGTCCCTTCTTCTCAGACAGCTATCAGGGATGTGACAGGTGGCTGCTGCCTGCTCCCTGTGATTACCTGAACTATTTGGGAAACTAACCGTAAAGTTACTGTAAAACAGTAACACTTTGACCAAATGCTGGATAGTTTATTTATTCATCATTCTTCCTAAGCATCAAGTCCTGAAATGCTAAAAGGCTTTTAGCCTTTTCTTCTCTGATTGAAGAGGGCTGAGATATTTTTGAGTACCTTACTTGAGTTCCCTCCAGACATCTTTTCTAAAAGTCAATTGCTGAGAATAACTTTTATGCATATATATATACACGTATTTTTAATTTGCTGATAACAGTCAGCTACTACCATGAGCCAATCCTTTATCATTGACAAGGACCTGCTAAATCTTGAGTGCCCGCCAAAGCACTCAGCCGTGCATCAGGGTTAGACATGGCAATGCAGTTTAGTCGTTGAGTTGTCCGCCCCATTTTTTTTTGTTGAGATCAACATAGACTCTGTAAGGGCTGGCAAAACTGATTTTCTACCATAACTTGGTCCAATTGCTTTCTTCAGGATTCCTTCTCTGTAACCTTGAGGCAACCACTTCTATATATTCAAAGATTTGTCCTTTGGTAACCAAGAGCCCCGCCTTTTGGTAGTCAAGAAAATAAAAGCGCCCTAGTTAAAGTTGATGATAGTATTTCAGAGGGGCCAGCTCAGCTGGTGTTGAATTACCAAGAAAGCAACTTCTCTTGTTTACTTGCTAGCAGAGCACAGGAATCACAAGCAAGTTTTACCAGGGGTAACAGAAAATACAGTGTTTTGTCAAGTCGTAATTCCCAATTGCGCTTGAGTCCTAAATCACCTACTACTCCTATTGTCCATTTCCTGGTTGTACCTTGGTTGATACCTCTGTCGGGCAAGAAAAAAGCGGCTAGAGGTGTGCATTGCTGGCCAGTGCTGAACAATCCCCATGGCAGCTTGCTTCTCCCCTCAGAATAAACATAAATCAAGTGGTGATTTTCATAACCTGATTTTCCTTGGGACTTCTGTCCTACTTTTGCCTGAAATTAGCTAACCTGTTCAAAATTACCGAGAGGGACAGACAGATGAAGAAACAGATAGTGTTAGTCCATAAATTATATTTTCTTGAAAAAAAGAAGCTACGAAAAGCACTGATTTAATCTGACTGTTGGCCCTCTCTGAGTTTAGAAGAACTTGGTTTGGTTCCCAGCTGTGCTGGAACCCTCTTCGGGACCTGACGGGGAAGCCAAAGCAAGGGGCTGCACTGCAGTACAATGCACTGTACTACAAACCTGTACATCCAATGGGGCCTGCTTGGCACATGATTCAGGGCGAAAGAACAGTTCTTGTGGAGCACTTGGGTTGAACTGTGGACTTTTGGAATAGGGAGCTATGCTTGGAATGTGTCCTGCGCATTTTAATCTCCAGTGCAGTGTAAACCATAGCTGTATGAGTAGTTTCAGATGGTCTGTACTTTACCTTACTTTTACTACAATATGCTCAGGTTTTTGAAAGCCTTCTGTTGTGTTCATCCTCAGGATGGCTGTCACTCTCCAGTCCATTGCAAGCATACGAATTTCCACACATTTGTCCAGTCTGTTGCTGCAATATCATTTGAATTCAGTAGTGCCATCCAGTAAGGATGATTCCAAACTATTTATTTGGGGCATTTTCATCTGGAAAACTGTCTTGATGTCTTTAGGGAAGATCTTGATGACTTCAGATCCTTTACTCACGTCAAGAGGTTGCTCCATAGGCATACTACGTCTCCCAAACCTTTTGTGGACTCTGATCCTTAGGAAACCCATGCTTGTTGAGACCATCAAGACAGAAGACCTGGATCTGTTCACCTTTCCACTCCAATGTGATGACCGCACATGTGATGTGATGACTGCACAAGTTGCTGTGATGGCCACAGTAACTTGCTGGAGTTTATGCCAAGCCATCTCTGTTTTTCTCTCAACTCTGTTATAGAATATTCCTTGATTTGTTTTCCTTTTTTTTTTTTCTTTTTTTTTTGTTTTGGAAAGTTTACCTCCAGAATTGGTCCTTGTGAGGTACCCTCCAAACCTCAGCCTGCATCAAGATTAGCTGTATGGCTTGAGGTCTGTAGCCTGAATGCAAAGATGGCCTGATCCAAAAACACATTCCCCAGTGTCCTATGTGATCTGGCGATTTTGTATCATCATAAATTTACAGTGCATTTTTCTCTGGAAAACAAAGCCAGTGTTTAGGCAAATTCTTTTGTCAATTACCACTTTCCCTTTATGGGATGTAGAATGCTTTTCAATTAGTCTTTTGGCTGTTGCTAGTCCCTAGTGTAAACCTGGCTACTGCTTTTAGGTGTGTCTAACTACATAAGGTGTTATTTGGAAAAGCTAGATTTGAGAGTGATCTTGAGTTAGTGTTACAGAAGCTACTAATACATTGACGAATAATGACTTATAAAAAGAGGCTAGAAACTTCAGTCTCACTCAGATAATCCCATTAAACAGACATTGAGTTGTAAGCCATGTCTATTATTATCATGTTACCTGAATGAAAGCACGCATACAGGCAGACAGGAAGGAGAGACAAACTTGACTGCCTCAATGTCATTCTCCTCCTTCTCCACTTATTTCAAATGGCTCAAGCTTAAGCAAGGCATGGAAAAGCTTAAGCAACCCATGGAAATTCAGGCCCTCCCCGAGGGCTTGGTTTGAACTTACTCCAGCTGGTGATTCCATGGGCACTGCAGGTGTGGTTAAAGCACTGGAACTCATGCTCCGGAACTTTGCTGGAGCAGTGTCCAAACACCAGAACGTGAATCCTGGCTATTTGGCTCCCAGTATTGTTAGGTACTTGTGTGCCTGCCAGTTTTTAAGTATGTGACAAGCTTCAGTAGGACTGAAGTATGTGTTTACTGAGGGACTGAGAGACGCCAAGCTAAAAGACTAAAAGCTAAAAGTTTATTGCTATGCAAACAACAGCCTTTTCATATTCACTCTAACACACACTTACATCTGTGGTTTGATCATGTCATTTAACTTCTCTACCTCAGCTGTTTCATCTGTGAAGTGAAAATGCTAGGGTTTGCCTTTTGACAGCTGATGTAGGAGGATTAATTCATGAGTGCGTGCCCTGGACTTCTGAGAAGTCTGTCAGTATGTAAAACCGTAATTAACAATTGTTTGCCCTGCACTTGAAGACACTTGCACAACAGCCTGATCCTGAGGAAAGCTGACTGCTTGCCACTAATGCTCAGAGCAGGAGAGTTTGAATGTGCTCGGTGGGATCAGGACCAGACTAAAAATATACATACATATTTTTAGGGCAGTCTCTGGAAACCAAAGTTTGGAAAGAGCCTAAAACTTCTAGAACCTAAGGAGGCACCAAAGGCTGAAACAGTCAGTGAGGGCTTTCCACTGACTGCAGCAGACTTTGAACTGAAGCTTTTGTCTCTGACATCTGTCTCAGATAGTTATCACTTCATTATGCTACATACCTCTTCATCCTCAGATTTTTGAGAAAATAGAACTCTTAAAGACATGAGACAAGTCTTCCTGAATCAAGGGAAAAGAGAAAAATGTCGCTTTCATACAAATTATCAAAGATAATGAAAGATATGAAAATATAAATGGCAAATTGTTTAGAAGAATCAGCACACACACTTGTGGAAGTGAATGGATTTTTGCCTTGAGCTAAACTTGGACTTGGATCTGATCTTGAGATAGAGATGGGCTTGTAAAGCTGGTTTGAAGGAAAAGGTAATACTCTGTATGGCGCTAAAAGAAAAAAAAAGCAACCTCTTTGGAAAGGAGTAAAGAAGCCTTCTTGGGTTGCAGGGATTCAGGGGCAGAATACCAGGGCCATGTGTTGACACTGGATCTGCATAGAAATGGTGAGTGATGTGGAATGGGGAGCGATAGACGATGTCCACACAGACCTTCAGTTGTTCCGACAGAATCTGCTTTCCAGGAGATTTGGTCTCCATGCTAGAGTACTGGATTGCCCATGTCATGCCATGTGAATTTCAGGTGAGGATTTCCTGGAAGTAAGGGGGAGACGAGATGATTGGTTCTGTACAGCCTGCTAAGTCTGACTTTCAGTACAGCTGTTTAGGGTGTGGGGGAAGATGTGTGGAAATTGTCAAAATGATTTCTGAGAGCTAGTACAAGGACAGGAAGGAGCTGTTTTATCCACTTAAAGATGGAAAAGTAAGGCCGAAGTACAGGGGAGGTTTAGGAGAAAGATGATGATAGCAAATAATCATTTAGGAGAAAAATATAGAAAGCAAGCTGAAACAAAAACTGGCACTTCTCGGCTCGAACTGAGTTTTCAGAGAATGGGCCTGGCTAAATTGATATAATGTCCAAATATCAGGAAAGAATGAGAGTGAGGTGATTGGGTCCATGGATTTTTTGCTCATACAGAAAGCAACACAGAACGTCAAGCTGGTATCTCACTGATGGAAGGGTGATTTTGAGCCAGGGACAGAGTGGGAATGAGCAATTAGAGGAAGAAAATGCAATAAAAGTGATTGATTGGGATGTAGGGTAGATGAGACAGGCATGGTAGGGCAGTGGAGCTGAGACTTTTTGCTGCAGTAGCATGGTAGAGAGCAGGAGGACTGGGATATTGAGAGCTCCTCAAGGATATTGAGTGCTGGCGACTAGATCCGGGGAGGAGAGCGGTGATGGAGGTTGTGGGGGTGAGGAGCTGGGTCCTGCTGTGAGGAAATGGGCACCTAAACGAGAGGATGGAGATTTACAGGACACTTGCCGAGGTTGTAGTTGGGGGAAGAAAGAAAGAGAATGGAAGAGCTAGAGGGAGGTCCGGAATTCTGCTTTGGAGAGCAGTAGGAAACAGTATAGGAGATTTACATAAGAATAGAAGACACACAGTTTTGGTGGGTAGCTCTAGGCATATCCTCCTAGTCATGAGATTAGAAGCAATGCCTCCCTGCTTACTGCCTGCTCCTGTTGCTTCTTTAAATGACACTGTAAAGTCCATGAGGGTGTGTAGCCCCTTTGTTTGGTGGATCATCTCAAGGAAAGCATTTTATAAAGTGGAGAAAATGCTGTATGCCCTGTCCTGAAGTGCTCTCAGGTGTGAATCGGTGGCCACAAGCATGGTGCCATACCTGGCCAAGTCATCTGTCCCTAGTGTTACTCTAGCAGGTTACAGAATACCTTCAGCTCAGGTCTCTTTGGCTTTGGCTCCTCTTCTCTGCCCTGGAATTTGTTTAGGAAATCTGTCAAGAAAACGATCTACAGAAACCTTTCACTTCCACAAACAAAGGCAGTATCACTTCGCATGCATTGGATAGGCTTGCTCTGAGTGTGTGTGTGTGTGTGTGCTTATATTGCTTCACTTTAACACAACAGCCATCCTTTGTGTGTTCACCACTTTGTGTGTAGGGAGCTAGGGAGGGGTATGGGTGCCCAGGATCATTTTTAGCTGCTTGTTACCTTTTTTTTTTCTGCTCTAAGGAGAGAGAGCAGACTGTATTGATGTGACTACATGGAAACGTAGTAGTAAAAATGTTAAATCTTTGGCACTATGGGAGGAGAGAGATTTGGGAAGGGAAGAGCACTTCAGAACCGTAGACAAGATCTGAAGCAGCATAAACCTGATCGTTTCCATACATGTTAAAACCTAAGTGAGAAGGGAAACTTTTTTCTTAAGTATGCAAGCTAGAATAGTGATAGGAAACACAGTCTTTCACTTGCTGGAAATCTGTTCAACATCAGACCTTCATAAAAGGCTGCTACCTCCTTGTTGGACTGAAGAAGCAAAATGAGTGGAAATGTATCTGCCTGTGGAGGACTTTTCTCTTGTTCAGTTAGAAGCAGTGTACTGCTGCTTGCAGTAAGAACAGAGCGTGAAATAAAAAAGAGATGGCTTATTTATCGTAGACCTCTCTGAAATATGATGATTGCTTTATTTAATTGCTTTTAAAAGCTTCATTCTCTCTCTGCGTAGCATCCGTTTGTGCAGCCGCTGTGTGAAAGTCCCGCAGTGACAAGCCATAAACACCCTGTTTCGAGGGGGCAGTGTCATGATGTGCTTCACTTCTGCTTGTGTCAGAAGGCTGCTGGTGCGTCCGTCTGGTCACAGCTGTGGGTGCAACAGTTCTTCCCTGAATCTGGCTTTCCAGACAGAGATAGTGCTGTAAAAAGCTGGCATTTACCCTACCAAAGAGAGGCCATCAAACAGATGTCCCCCTCTTCTACTCTCCTCCCACCCTCCCACCAGCTGCGTATGTCGTCTAAGTCTCAGCCCAGCCTGAATCATCCATGGCAGGAGAAAGAAGACACACCATGCAATGGGAGAAAACATACACGGGCATTTTGCAGGAGGATGCCAGTGTCTCGGGAAGCCAGAATGCAAAGCCACAGTGTCCTGGCCTGAAATGTAAATTGCCTTTAATCTCAGCGTACCACAGAGTTGCAGCAGTTGGCATCTCAGCTTGGAGGTCAAGACTAGAGTATTTTATGTGGCTTGGGTCTTCCGAGAAAGAATATAATTTTATAGAATCCCACACGTTAGACTGGAGGGGAAAAGACTATCTAGAGAACTTCTGTTCTGCTTGAGTACAGTGTTGCTCTCCTCTCCTAGGTGTTTTGTCAAGAGCACTTTCAAATACCTCTTAGTGCCAAAGATCTGCTGGCGTCCATGTAAAACACTCCTGCGTTTCACCTTCGTTACTGCAGAGGGGCTGGTGAATCAGGCTGGTTCCCTGGGTTCTTCACAGATGTGAGTAAAGAGGGAGAAGGCACAAAAAGATTGGAAATCTGTTTCTCCTGCAGGCTTATCTTTCCTCCACGAACTCCACGAACCATTCCTCCACACGCTGTTGCCTCTGGAGGGCTCTGGCTGTTTGATAGGGTTGGGACACTGGTCGCTGGAGCCCTGATTACTTGGGCAGCTGCAATAGGTAGAGACCCACTTTAACAGGGGGTTAGGCTTATTTCTTATTTCCAGATCTTGCAATCCAGAAACAGAGACACCGAGCACCTGGAGCAAAAAAAAAAAAAAAAACAGGGAAAAGCCCGGATAGCAGCTGTGTGCTCTAAGGGCTGCTGGCAGCACTGCATCCCCAGAGCTCCCCGGGGTAAATGCATCTGCAGGGGTCAATGAGCTGCGCCAAGGCCCACCCCAAAAGGCTCCCCCACATACCGTGAGGTTTCACAGAATGGCCGAAGGGTTGAGGTCAGCTGAGGCTCAGGACCTCTGAGGATCCCCCAGTTCAACCCCCAGCAGGGTCACCTGGAGCACATTGCCCAAAATCCTGTCCAGACAACTCTCAGTGCTCAGCCACCTTCAGAGTAAAGAAAGGTTCCCTCCCCCATATAATCAGACCAACTTTCCTGTTTTCATTTTTTTTTTGCCTACTGCTTCTTGTCCTATCATGGGGCACTACTGAAAAAGTCTGGCCCTGTCCTCTTTTCAGCCTCTTTCAAATATTTATATGCATTCCTAGGATTTTATCCTGAGCCTTCTCGTGGCTGAAAGGTCCCTCAGCCTCTCTGCCTCTCCTCATACAACCAATGCTCCAGCCCCTTCATCGTCTCTGTGGCCCTTCACTGGACTTGCAAAAAGAGCACAAGAACTTGCACGAGAGCTGGATACAGCACCCCAGAGGTGGCCTCATCCATGCTGAGGGTCTCCTTGTTCTCCTGCCATCCAGGGTTGTGATCCTTCTTTTGCTCTCCTCCCTCCTCACACAACCTTGAGCCCAGCAATCTCTGTGCCCCAGCAGATGCCGCAGGCAAGGAGAGGCTGATGCACAGCGGGAAAGGATAGGCAGGAAAGGAAGGACAGAGCTGGAGAGGAAAGAGAAGAGCAAGCAACACAAAGCTGCACCTCCTCAACAGGGAGCTTAAG